TGACACAGCATTTGAAGATGCGCAAGGTGTGCGCGAAGATGGTCCCAAAAGTGCTCACTGACGACCAGGAATTGCGGCGAGTGGAAGTGTGCCAAGAAAATTTGAACATGTGTGAACGTGACCCCCAATTTTTAATAACATAATCACGGTGACGAGTCGTGGATCTTTGAGTATGATCCCGAGACAAAGAGGCAATCTTCCGAGTGGCACACGACGGTGTCTCCTCACCCAAAAAAGGGAAGAATGAGCAACTCCAAAGTGAAAACAATGCTCATTGTCTTTTTTCACATCAAAGGGATCGTCCACCATAAATTTGTTCCTCCTGGACAAACCGTCAACGCCAGGTTTTACGTGGAAGTCTCAGGAGACTCAAACGAAGGGTCAGTCGGGTCCGACAAGACATCGCAGCCGACTGGAAGTTGCACCACGACTACGCCCCGGCTCACACCGCCTTTCTTGTGAACAGCTACCTGACCAAGGCCTGCATCCCAACGCTTCCGCAGCCTCCCTACAGCACAGATGTGGCCCCCCCCGGCCTTTTTTTTTGTTTCCTCGCCTGAAAAGGCCGATGAAAGGCAAGCGTTTTGAGACGACAGAGGGGCTCCAAGCAGCATGCACCGCGGCTCTCAAGGCTATTCCGGAGAATGCCTTCCGTGACGCCTTCAATGCTTGGAAATTGCGCTGGCAGCGCTGCATCGACGCAGAAGGAGCCTATTTGGAAAGTTTTTAAAGAATTGTAACGATTGGCTCAATAATTTTTTTTAAATCGACTCAGTCCTACTACTTTCCGGACAAACCCTGCATGTTTTGATTTCGGTTTATTGTAGGATATTTTGGCCACAGCAATGGCTTTTTCAAGTATAATGAGGGAGTCCACCGTGGTGGCCCAAACTTCGTACAATAAACAGATACTAAAGCATATATGCGGTTTGATGCGGCCAGACAACGGAGTCCTTTGAACATGAAAATCACTGGTCGAGTTTCCGGAGTTACATTAAGAAGTATAAAGTTTCATTTTTCTAAGTGATAAACTATAGACGAAAATGACAAAGCAAGTGCGTTTATAAACATGATTGGCTAAAAGAAAGGTGGCTCAACAGTACGAAGTTTATTTCTACACTACCCGGATATCTTCCAGCTTCTTTTTTAGTTTTCTTCAATTCGCCTAATCTCTCCTACTGCTCTCCTTTATTAAAAAACAGCTGGTTTCTAATCTCTCAGTCCAATTTTAATCTGTTATTCATAAAACCCACTTCTACAGGCACCGAACGGGCAAGTTCTGTTGCGAAAGTTTCATGAAAGCATTGAATAGGCTGCTTACACCATTAACAAGTCTGCCATTAATTAATAACTTTGATTTAAGCTATATATGAATTTTCTAGTACTTTCGTTACAATTATATAGTTTTTCCAGTGTTATTTTGTGAAGAAGTTTATTCTTGTTTTAACGCACAAATAATATGCACACAGGCCCATCCATGTGTGAACGGAATATTACTCATAAGCAAATACATTTTGGGAAAATCTATTTACGGGATGTTATACATCATATTTGAGGGCACATTTATCAAATATTGGCCATTATACAGGGTGTCCCAATTTCGATCTACATATCAAATTTGTGATGTTTCAAATGGAATGCTTCAAATTTTATTGCATATTTGGATAAACCAATTCAAAAGAAGAAAATTGATATGAAATACTATGGGATTTTGGTAATTAGCTACTGAGATTTATATATATATATCTTGACACGTGGTCATTGTCGTCTAGACCAGTTAGGTGAAAAATTAAAGCTTCCGCCTTTTGTTGGGTACTTCGACAAAAATTTAAGCAATATATATATATATATATATATAACGTGAGCAGTAGTAATTGCCAAAGCCAACGACCAGTTGGGTACAAAATACAATTAATTGTTAATTGGGAAATTGGCAAATCTCTTAGGCTTAAGTTGACTCTTTTGATGATAAAATCAAGCTTTCGGCATTCTCTATAGAGCCTTCATCAGGATTCTGAAAACACAATTGTGATGCTAGCAAAGAAAACAGGACATATTTAAATTGTCAGACAACTTACTCGTCGGTGAGGTTGCAGCCACAAGGTGTTTCAAAACGAACGTAGAGAAGATCGAACTTATAATCAGTATCAAAACAAAAGGACGGGGACATTGGGATTGTTGAAAAACGACAGATACCTTCGTTAAATGTTAAAAATATCAATACACCCAAACAAGTTAAAAATATTACACGTGAGACGACATTTTGTTGAAACAATCGGAATGCAGTCTCTAACCTTCTGCTTCCGCTACACGTGGAGAGGGGGACGGCACGGAAAGATAAAGCGTCGACAGATGACAAGTGGTTGACGCGACGGACCGTGGAACTGTAAACCTCCCTGTCCAGCTTTATGTATGAAGTATACGAGGGACACTCGGTAAACCTCCACCCAAAATTACTAAAATACTGAATTAACTTGTTTTGGAAAAAAAATGTGTAGTTCATGAGTGTAAGAATGTGTGATATTGATACAACCTTGAAAAGATGGGTTATGTGAGTTTATGTTAAAAATGTGAGTGAGAAGATGTGTTCCAATTTTGTGAAGATGTTGGTTCAATTTGGATATGTAGCCGTTCTAGCTTTTCGCAATTTAACAGGTGGGAATAAATGATACTGAGCTGCTTAACATCAGCCTTTTTATTCAAGCAATGATCTGTCATGAAAATGTGGGACATTTCTAAAAATAAACGTTTGCAGAGTCTTTTTTCTTTATCAACATATATATATATATATATATATATATGTATTCAACATGGAGGAGATATTTTCGAGCAGTTTTTGTAGATTAGATCCTGGGTAGTGATAGTTGTTTGTTTATGTTGTTGTTATAGTTGTTTTTCTCTATTACGCTTTAAGCTGATTTATACTGTTCTGATTGTAATTAGTTTTCACGTCAAATCTTAGTGGCAATATGGAACTACCCCACTGTTTGTCTTTTGTTTCCATCGATGATGTGATTTGTTTCCTTAATTTTGGTGAGTTGTTCTAATAAAAGCTTAATAACTCAAAATCTAGTGATTTTATCTGAATCAAACCTTATACCAAAAAAAGCTTAAAAAAAATTGAATCTAAACTTGCACAAATATACAAGGTGATGTATTTGAAATTGGTGAGAAAAAGTACAATTCGCGTTTTTGACCACCCTGTATGAGCAAAAATGAAAATTCGAAAAAGTAACAAACAAGATAACAGCTAAGGTGTGTAAATTTTTTTTGATACAAAATTCAGCAATCCAAATTCCAAAGTGGCGGATTGAGGGGTTGCCGAAGTGGACGGTTTTTGTGGACAAAACACCTTACATCTCAGTAGCTAATTACCAAAACCAAATAGTATGTTATATCAATTCTCTTCTTTTGAATTGATTTATCCAAATACGCCATAAAGTTTTCGGGATTCCATTTAAAAAAACCACAACTTTGATATGTAGGTCAAAATTGGGACACCCTGTATAATTGCCAATATTTTAGAAATATGCCTTTAAATGTCATGAATAACACGTCATAAATAGATTTTTTCAAAATATATTTGTTTATGAGTAATATTCCGTCCACACATGGGTGGGCCACCCTGTATATTTGGATGAGCAAAACTCATGGATAATTATAAATTTATAAATGAAGTCTTATTCACAATTGGAAGTACCCGGTACCTGGGTACCCGAAAACCATGACCACGATCGCTGGTTGATTCAAAGCATGAAACTATGATTGTACGTGAAGCGAGTGTATTGGATTCAAATAGATATTTTATTTAGTCGGATTGAAAATCTTCCAGTAGTACTTGATTTAGTGACTCTGGAATCAGTAAAGATTAGAACCTACTCGTAGTTCAGACGTATGAATCATATCTACTACCAGCATATACTTCGCCTTCCCTGATACGGCATGGCCATCAAGCTCCATTTTGACTATTATCCCAGGGGTTCAATAACCCGAATATCAATAGCTTCCAACAAAGTCGGCTGCAAAATAGTTACAAGGCAGCTACAAAACAAAGCGAGAGGAGTATAAATGGTGATTCTCTGCAATGCCTTTCCACGCTGAAGGTTAAAATCTCATTAAAAGGTGGACGGGGTAGCACCCAAACCGAAACAACTAAACGCAAGGTACAAAATAAAAGGGCATTACTCGATATATTGGTGTTTGGAGCGTTAATATTCCAGAATCTGGAAGTCAACGAAACAACGCCCACACACAACCACAACCACAGCAGAAAGAAAAGAAAATGATGCTGGCCCACGCAACTCCTAAAACCAGGTATCTTGATAGTAAATCAAATATACATATACGGCTAGTACGTCTACAAATCACACGGTGGGGCGCTGGTCGCCAACGAGCAGAACCCAGTCTCTACAAGGACCAACAATATTTTATGAGGAAATTTCTGAGATAGTCGTTGACATTAGTGTCCAAAAGATTTCAACACAATACTGAGTCGCTGAGAAAGAAAGATATAATGCCTGTGAAATTATACAATCAATAAAGTATGAATTTTGCCAAAATAGAATCATTGAAAAAAGTTTTGGCCTTGGAATTGGTACTCTATAATCATTAAAAAGGAAGTCAAATTACCGGTAAATGATCGAAATAGTGAATAAAAAAGGTTACGTGATTTTGGCACGTGATAATGGTCCAAGTTTGATACGATACATTTAATGAATATTACAGTCCAAATGGGTTTTCTATAATGGAGGACCTACTAAACCAGGTTGATTTTATATAGGGATTGGGTGCCCTTCTCATACAAACAGTATACTTTTTCGCTAGCCTGAGAGGTATATTGGAAGAACCTGACTATATTCATTAGATCATTTACTTCAAAAATGCTTTCTGATTGGTGAATTTAAGCTTGAGCGTGCGGAAAAATTTACTTGTATCTTGGCACTCTTGAATTTGAGCTGGAAATTTATGTTAAAATCGAGCCTAACAGGACCATCACAAACCCTCAATACCAACCCCGAGTTTCCGCTCCTTTTTCCCCTGACAGATGCAATGTTGAGCTCGAATCGGTTACAGAGCAGCTGGACGATTTTGGTGATGCAGGTCAACTGGAAATAAAGAGGGTTATCGTACAATATTAATTATGGGTAATGGAATGGGCATGCCTTCATCAATAATCCCGTTTCCCAGTGGAATCCTCGATTTTCATAGCGATGGATTATGTATTTGGCGAAATAGTCATCTATCATAGATGACATACACAGACACAGTAAAAAATTGCGTCAAGTCGGTTGACTCTGTACTCCATACGCAACGCCGAGATCAGTTCATAAAGAACACTGATCAACAGCCAAATAATATCCTAAATAAAATCAACAAAATATTACTATTTTTAATGTGCTAAAACCGGAATGAAACTTATTTTTTCAATATTAGTTCAAGTTTTAGAGATACGGTAATTATATGTGTTCCTGCTGTGACAGTGTTAATATATTGTAATTCACAAGAATGCACGTGCTACATTTTTTATATTCGGCAAGGAAATATGATGTAATCGGCATGATTGTGTTACGTTATACATACGTGTACATTATATTGTTTTATATTAGCCATTTTTTCCTCAGTTGGCTGACAGCGTTCATGCAAGATGTCTCGAAAGTGTGTAAACAATCCAGATCAGTTTTGTTACGTGTGTGGTGATGTGACTTTTGCGTCTCAGAGACGGTCTATTACTCCACTAATAACCAAGGCATATCAGCTTTATTTCGGTTGTAAACTAGGTGATCAAGACAAACAGTGGGCACCCCACATCTGCTGTAATACATGTGCTTCAAGTCTGAGGAGCTGGTTAAATAGCAAAAAACGGTCTATGCGCTCTGCTGTCCCAATGGTTTGGAGAGAGCCTACAAATCATATTAATGATTGTTACTTTTGCATGGTACCTTGTGTTGGATAAGCCACAGGTATGTCCAAGAAAAAAAAATCGGTTATTAACTACCCAAACATACCATCTGCGATGAGACCTGTGCCTCACAGTGACGAAAATCCTATTCCAAAACCCCCAGAATCCTACACTTGCGAATCAGAAAACGAATCAGATCATGGCGATCGAGTGATTCGTCAGGAAGAAGATATGCCATCAACGTCAAGAGATCCTGATTTTATACCGAGCACGTCATGCCACCAACCGCATAAAATAACACAGTCAGAATTAAATGATCTTGTAAGAGATTTAGAACTTCCAAAATGTATGGCAGAGTTACTTGGATCAAGACTGCAGCAGTGGAACTTGTTAGAAGACGATGTTTCGGTATGTGTTTTTCGTAAACGCCACAAAGACTTAGAACCATTTTTCAATATGGAGAATAACTTGGTTTTCTGCAGTAACATTAACGGCTTACTGGCGGCTTTAAATATAAACTATAACCCAGACAAATGGAGATTGTTTATAGACAGTTCAACATTGAGTTTAAAGGCAGTGTTATTGCATATTGGAAATATTTTACCATCTCTTCCTGTAGGGTATGCAGTTCACATGAAAGAATCATATGACAATATGAAGTACCTATTGACATGCATAAAATACGATGAGCACCAATGGCATATTTGTGGCGATTTGAAAGTTGTTGCACTTTTACTTGGGCTGCAGCTAGGCTACACAATGTTTTGCTGTTTTTTGTGTGAATGGGACAGTCGGGCAAAGGCACTTCATTACACCAGACAAAACTGGCCTGTTCGTCAATTCCTAGAGCCAGGTCAAAAAAATGTACAGCATATGTTATTAGTAGATTCGAAAAAAATTTTATTACCACCGCTGCATATCAAGTTGGGCCTAATGAAAAAATTTGTCAAGGCATTAGATAGAGATGGGTCAGCTTTTCAATACCTGCGTCAGAAATTTCCAAGACTAAGTGAGGCAAATGTTAAAGAAGGTATTTTTGTTGGGCCACAGATTCGAAATATTTTGAAAGATACACAGTTTGAAAACACTTTAACAGGTATTGAAAAAACTGCTTGGAATGATTTCCGTCTGGTGGTCACTAATTTCTTGGGAAATAGAAAAGCTGACAACTATAAAACCTTTGTCAAAAATATGCTGTCATCGTATCAAAAGATGGGCTGTAATATGTCTCTTAAGATACATTTCCTACACTCACACCTGGACTTTTTTCCTGACAATTGCGGAGCCGTAAGTGATGAGCACGGCGAACGTTTTCATCAAGATATTTCAACAATGGAAAAAAGGTACCAGGGAAAGTGGAATCCTTCCATGCTTGCAGACTACTGTTGGACTCTTGGTAGAGATGCTCCAGAAACGATCCATAAAAGAACAGCAAAAAGACAGCGCATATAGTGATTCTTATAGGTATATGAATCTTGTTACTTATTTTAATATATCCTTAAAAATAAAAAGTTTTTTTTCTAAACCGCAACTAATTTTTTTATTTCATTGTCATTTTTGGATTCAGTGCCCCAAAATTAACAAAGAAGTGCACTTTTCCCACAAGATACAATTAAAAAACTAAAATTTGTTGTCCAGTGGAATTAAATTTAGCGCGATCTAAATCCTCTGAGAGAAGTTAGTTACCAGCATGTTCAAGGGAGGAATTAAATGGATTAAAACACTCAAAAAGGCCCATATAGATAGTCCGCAGACATTATTTCCCTGTCCTATCGGTGGTTACTGTCCATCTTGCAACGATGTCCTTTTCCACATGCGTGATCCGTGTATATGTGTTTTGTGCTGCAGTTCGGATAGATTAGTCTGCCGGACTAGTTTGGCAAACCTATGTTGTGTGACATTTATGGTTAGTGGGTGCATTGATTTACCGGGGTTGGAAGCGTATAAATATACCAATTGTAAGATCATAAAACATTCACCCGCTAGAACTCCTACTAACGAACTTCATCCAATAGAAATATGTTTCTAAAAATGATCACGACCCTCTAAAGCGTCAAAAAACAAAGCTTAAACGATTTCTTTTTTCTTTTTCGTTTTTGGGTCTTTTCTGCGCCGCCACGGACCGATTTTCAAAAGATACAAAGCTGTTTTGTGCTTGGCATAGTAGTAACGTTGTGTAAAAAGTTCATCAAAATTCAAGAGGTACTTCTCAAGTTATAGATGGGCGAAGGATTAGCGGACAGACACACAGACCGATGGTAATGAATAACATGGTTTTTTGTGATGTAACATTAAAAAAAGACTGTATCTCATTATCATAGAAATATCATAGAAACCTATCTTATAGAATATGAATATACCTGAATTAGTATAATCATTTTAAACGAAAATGCCCCTGTTGGCGAAATAATTGTAGTCTGACTTTATTGCTGCAAGTTGTTCAATGGAGTATTCATGGACGCATAAAATGGGTACACCAATTTTGGTGGGAAAACTTTTTATTCGACAACAAAGGATGAGAAACATGTTTTTGAGATTCAATCGAAAGTGCTGGCAGGAATGAAAAAACCCTTTTTAAAAATTTCTTTAGGTATTTATGAGACCTTCAAAATGAGACCACACGTAAAAAGATTCGACTAAAAGCAAAAAAGTTATGGCAGAAAATCGAGGCAAATTACAGGTTTTGGCACTTGTTGGCAATGCGACGATGATTTCTCGCTTCTTAATAATCACAACAAAATTGTAGTGATCGGTCGAGTAGTTTTTGAGAATTTCTAATTGTTTATCCTAAAACACCTTTTTTCCGGCCATCACTACTAGTTTATTGAGCAATATACGGGGCTAGTTCAAAAGGCATTTTATGGCAAAATACACTAGGTTCCCTTGCCAGTATGAATCGCAAACCATTCCGGAAGGTAAATGTTATTTTTATGCAAAAAATGATGAGTTACGTTTTTTCTCCTAAACAAATTCAAACATTTCGTATTTGTAAGTACTCGTAATTCGCAATAAACTTGAATCATCAAGTGGCTTCACGATGTAATGCTTTCATGTTTTCAAAAAAATGTTTAATGTGTTTTCAACTTGTTCTTGTCACACAATTGTGTATATTTTATATAATTTTGACCATTGTACCATCTATCCAGCTTTCACCATGTTACTGGGCGTTTCCCTCATCCTAAACGTAAACAATAATTAGCAACATCCTCACATACTACTCTCCTGATGATGACGGCAAAGTCCATTGAAAGCTAGAGAGAATTAAAAAAAGTATAAAGGGTCCTCTTTGCTTAAATTTTGTCGAAGTACCCAACAAAAGGCGGAAGCTCTAATTTTTTACCTAACTGGTCTAGACGACAATGACCACGTCTCAAGTTATATATATATATATATATATATATATATATATATATATATACAGGGTGACTTTGAAGTTGAGTCATTAATTTTCAGATAATGACTGTAGAAGGAAGATAAACCAAAATATGTGTGTAAAAATAAAAAAAAAATTACCTTGTTTTATAAAGTTTCCTCCCGACAAGTATTTTAGTGCGGACCTGTATTTGATCGTGAGGTCTTGGAGCACCGGCATGCCGTCGCCTGTGAGGTCTTAAGTCACCTGATTCACGAGCCCGTTGTACTACATTAACAAAGGCACGAGGGGTTGGTTGCACTCGATTGGGAAACCAATACGCATAAACATGTGCCATTTTTGATTTCTTGATTTCGTTTGAGCCACGCAACAGACACCACTATTCACTCACGCGTTACCGACTGACACTGACTGTATACAACAGAATAAAATAATTGTAGAAACATCGTTCCAAATTCTTTCGCTTTTTTGTTTCCGATGCGATGAACCGATAAGGCGGATTATATCCGTTGTTGCCAAACACGAGCACATAATATTATTATTGAGACAGGGCGGTACTCAAACCTCCAAAGGGCTATAACTTTGTTACTTTAATTTTACCAGAAAAATGGTAAAGGAAAAAACATTTCCTTTGATCAGATCTACTCACTGTTAAAATAAATGACTCAACTTCGAAGTTACCCTGTATATACAGCCCTTTGGAAGTTTGAGTACCGCCCTGTCTCAATCATAAGATTATGTGCTCGTGTTTGGCAACAACGGATATAATCCGCCTTATCGGTTCATCGCATCGGAAACAAAAAAGCGAAAGAATTTGGAACGATGTTTTTACA